GTGATTCAACTTGGGGAGACACTGGAAATTTATAGTGGAGGCGGGGTCCCTTTCTTCGCTAAACAGCTGCATTGAAGTGTGAAACGCTACCCCTCAAGTATACTTGTAAATTGGCTGATGACTCAGAACAGTCAACTGAACTTAAACATGCTCTTATTCTAATGCCATTTCTCTAGTCTATGGCGAGAACAAACAGAAGTTTTTCTTTAAAATTAAATTTCAAAGTCATCTCAAATATGATCCTTCATTATAAAGGTAAGTTATTGATTTTTAATATCGAAATTAATCATAAACTAAATTCTTATAATTTAAAACTTGCTAAAAATTCAATTCAGCTAAACTTTTAATCCATTTATCTGAAAAATCCAAAATTATCACCATTAACAATGCAAATGTCTACTAATATTAATAACGTATTGTTATATTAACATGAAATATTTTTATGATAAATATGAAATATAAATATAATCTGTTTCCATACATTAAGAAAAAGCATAACAGGCCAAAATTAAAAACAAAATTTTTTAAACACGTCCTGCGCTATAGTGCAAGTAGAAAATCAATCGACTTGAACGGAGCTCATCAACATCTAAAAAATGTTTCTATTAATATGCAAGATATGAGAAACAAGTTTAAAGACATTATGAAAGAAGCTGAGTTTATTGCAAATAAACGAGACATAGAAACTAAATTTGAAAAATAAAAGAGAAATAAAGAACCTAAAACACTGTCAGTTTTAACAAATACGGAAATTATTAATAATGTTTCAAAAATACAGAAAACATATAAAGAAGATATGCACTAGAAGTACAACTTTTATTATTTATAAATACTTTCAGAACAGAAATCCAAAATTTGAAATCCTTTAAAGATTTAGCTAAATTAGCAATGATAAAATATTATGATATGACAAGCAGTTATTCGGGAGTGTGCAATTCACTTATATTGTATTTATCATTACCTGTAACCACAACCACGAGTGAGAGGTCATTTTCACTACTGAAACTAATAAAAACATATTTAAGAAACAGTATGAACAAGATCGGTTGTCAAACCTTTCACTATTGAGCGTTGAAGCTGAGATGGCTAAGAAAATGGACGTCCAAGTATTGATTGATAAATAATTTTGCGGAAATGAAGGTTAGGAGACGCAAATTTTAAAAGAAGGATTTTTTTCTTTATGATGAATTTGGCCACCAATGTTATCATTACACTTATTGAGGGAGGAAAAAATTAGAGAAAAGAGCAATACGGACTGAGAAAAATTAAAAGGAAACAGTAAAAAACTTTAGCATTCATATTTTTTTTTATAAAAATCATGTATTCAAGTAGTTTAATGTTCCAAAAGGTTTTTTAAAAAGACGGGAAAAAGACTTTACCATACATATTTTCTACAAAAATTGTGTGTTCAAATAGTTTTCTTTATAATAAAGTTTATAATAAATATGTTTTATTTTAACAAATGTATCATTTACATTATAAAAGTTCTTATTTATTACTTGTATATTATTGCATAAATCATGTTCGTAAGCTGAGTAAATCAAGAGTACTATACATTATTGTAATAGCTTTTCTGTACGTTTATCAATTATCTTGTCTGTCAGTTTATAATATAACTTAATTATTTATAAGTTTGCTAACTTGAAGCGAAAAAACTTAGATAGGTGCAGATTTTATATAAAAATTTAAAACATTAGTATGTAAAACTTCTGGGATTTTATATAAAAAACTCCGCAAATCTAGGCTTTCTTCCTTTTCTTAATGCTATACGTCGACATGCTCCTTTTTTTTATATAGACATATTCATTTATTTTCAGTATTCATCTCAGCGAAAGGAGAGAAAAAACTGTCTCTCATACTCACACTAAAAGTCTTAAGCAACTGAATTAAAATCATCTGACGTCAAATACCCAGACTAAAGCAAATTTTCATTTCACCAGTTGGTCAAGGGAAATTATTTTCCTTTATATTCTTTCTTCATGTTACCTTTCAACTGGTTCCCTAAGAACGTGCTTTTATTTTTTACAATTAATCCAGATGTGATAAAAAATTCATCATGAAAACATTGGCTCCTTGATTGGAATCCTTTTAATCTTTTTCCTTTAACTTTTCGAGTTTTTTTTTTTTTTTAATTTTTTATTTTTAAGCACATTAAATTTATTGAGAAAGGGGCCCAAGAAAATTTTTGCATAGGGGCCCAAGAGTTCTAGTTACGCCACTGAGCAGAGAGCGCACTTCAATTGTTCTTCAATATTTCTACACAGTGGTGGAAAGTTTTTACTAAACAACATGCATGTAAAGAATGAAAGCTTGCATAGAATGTAAACCAGTTTGAGTACTGCGCCACTAAATCGTGGAGGAACAAAATTTCGTCGCCAGGATTTACGGAAAATTGAGAAATACGGCACAAAACCAAAGAACTTACAGAAATCGTTCTGTGACAAAACTTTTAGCAATAGTTCAAACTCAGATTTTCATAGATTTTGTTGCTCAAAATACATAATTTACTAATTAATCTATTTGCTGGATCACTGGCTTGATTTACGTCAATACAGCGGGTGAAAAAAATAGTATCACAGAACTCTGAACTCATGAAAACGTGACTTTCGACCTTTGACACCAAGGAGTTCTTGTTTGACACTGGCTATACAACTATTTCGCCTCATGCACAAACAGGTATTAAGGCTGGATATGCTTCTACACCGATTTGGCAACTATTTCGTGCATGCGCGAAACGTGTTAAGGTTTGATGAATATCCCCTGTAAAGTACATTTCTTCGCTTGTGGACTGACGGAGCCACCCCTGCACTGGCGAAGCTTCCGTTCTTAACGTACATATGCATTGGTTCTACACTGTTCTAAAGAGCAAAGTAACACTACGCTAACGATTTTAGCAACAAATAATCAGGAACGTGTGAGCCTAAGGTGGGTGATGTGATTTCAAAACTAATATCGTGCAGCAATATTAATATCTCTTTTTGTAAAATAACAATTATAAATTACTTGATTAGCATTTGCTACTTCCACTGATAGCGGGAAATCAACAACGCCAGCATGAACCTAAGATAAGCTCAACGTTCCAATATAAATTCCTACCCTGAGTGTTGACACCATGATATAGCTTTTCAAAATTTATGTAGACAGTGACTTTCCTCTGTTTTTGAAGATCAAATGTGCAACATTTCATCAAGATCGGAATAAAAGTGTAGATTTGTGGGAATTAAACACACACAAACAAACGTGCTCTCTTCTTTGTCTAAAAATATGTAAGATATAAAAGAAAACTATTAAATTTAATTAGGCAATGCTCTTTTTTATTCCCCGATTTATTTTTTTTATCTCCCTAAAAGCAGAAATTGTTTATAATAATTTTACTAAACTACGTCTTTCAAAATTAATCCGTTTCATGCAATCCAGCTGCAATGCTTTAAGCTTTCAGCTAATCAAGATTATAAAAATATTTTACTATATATCTAGTGCTTTGTTGATGCGTATCCTGTTCTTCTAGCTGCTGCTTAGACGTGTCGTTTAGCCTGCACTAGCTGCTGTCCATTGTTCTGAAAATGCAAGCTGTCTAGAATGGTGGGGCCCACCAGCGGCCAAGCGGTAAAGTCGCTAAACACTGGTAGTTCGGTCCGAGGTTCGAATCCCGCGAACGGGCTGTCTGTATAGGCGTTTTCGTGGCTTTCCCCATGTGTAACGTGTATACGAGCCAGTTGCCCTTAGAAAGTCCTCCACGAAGGCATCCCTCCCCTTAGGCAGATAGCCCTCGAGGCTTTGCCATAATTACACACACACACACCAGAATGGTGGAGTGTACAGCGCACTCATAATTTTGATGTGCAAAGAAGAATATGTGTCCTAAAAAGCAGTTATCAAGAAAAAATATCTTGTTATTTTCAGCCACGACGCCTAGCTTTTCTTGGTTATACATTTCAAGAAACTACGCAGTAAAGCTTCTCCAAGGTATTACAACGCAACTAACCATTGCCAGCCCATTGCAAGTATTCCCAATCCTTTCATTATATACACATACATTCAGATAAAAATATGTAAATATAAATAATAATTTAAATTATCGATAGCTCCTTAATTTTTCATTTTAGCTTGGGTACTTTCTCTCTCTGTTCTAAGAAAATAAATAAATTTTTCTGAACTGAGTCACTAAAAAACTAACCACATTATGTCATTTGCTGAAATCTTGTCAAATCGCGGTTTTGAACTTAAACAAGGGATTTAACTCACGTACGTAAGCTTTTGCTGAAGTGCACACTCACTTTCCTAATATTTCTTGCCCTATTAACGCAGGTCGTTTCTTCGCTGTATCACCTGCTATCTAGAAATGTAATAAGTGTGCCTAAATTTGTGGGGTGCTTGTCGCATCCATAATGATGTGAAAAGGAGAACTTGTGCTCTAGGAAATTATCTTCAGGAAAATTGCTCCTGTTCTTTTCCATCAGAGTGGATCTTACGTTATGGGGCTAAAAACCAGCTACTTTTGGTTTTTCATATTGTGTCGATTTATTACACATACTATTTTTGTGCTAACATCAACTCTCTAGAACATTTTGGCCATAACTAAGAAGTAATTGTTGTCGTCATCCAAAAATTAATACTTATGTATACATACATACATACATACTATCTATATATATATATATATATATATATAAATTCGTTAAATTAGCCTAAATTCCATGTATATAAAGAGTGCGGACCCTCTGTGTAGACAGTGATCTTCTTGTTGTGAAGGTCAAGTGTGTCAAGTTTTAATCAAAATAAAACTATAAATAATAAAGGAATAAAACTATACATTTGTATTAAAGACAAAAACACAGACAATCTTCTTTACTTATATAAATTAAAACAGAAATACAGTGTAATAAATCTCTTATTATTTCACTGTGTCATTTACTAAGAAAACTAACGACATATATCTCAATGTTTGAATTAAATATCTTCATGAAACCTGCAATAAATAAAGTGAACTAGCTGAAATACTCCGCATTACCCGTGCTTTACGCAGAGTGAAAAGACTTCATTTAGGAGGATGTAGTTCTTAAGAAATGTTCTCGGAAAAATTGAGAGAAAGCGCACTGAAATTCTGCTTTGAAGGCTCTGCATTGTTGCAAATGGTAAATGATCACACCGCCATTTAACAGTTTTAGTAAGAACTTATAAATAAAGGTTCTGGCACCTTTGCCAGAACACACTTGTGTCTTGGCGAGCGATGGTCAACTTGAAAATGGGTTCCGGTACCTTTGTGCGGGTTGGCTGTTGTCAAGATTAAGGCCTTCATAAGCCCGTCAAGGTATGAGGGTTACTTTCGAAACGAAATTAAATGTTACAATACTGCTGACGTTATTTGTGCTTTTACATCCCGTCGCTGTTCCACGCTGGCAGACGATGGACAGGTGAAAACGGTGTCAGCAACTTTTCCAAATTTTCGGCGCCGGTTTGATCAGCTCCGTTTATTCCTGTCCCTATTCTTGTACATTTTTTGATGCATGAAAAAATAGGACTTTTCATCAGTTTTGCAGTCATAAAAATATCATTCATGATTCTCTGTTTCCCATAACTGACAAATAAGGATATCAATGAAACACTGACGTTCAGCCAAAGATTCTTCAGGCAATGAAGCTGCAGCTTGGCTCTCGGTTTCCTCTACTGATGAACATTGCTTTGATGGGAAAAGATTTTACATTTTAAAGATCTTTATGTTGCTGGTGATAGAGATGCAGGCTTGGCTGTCGAATCGAGTTTGCTGTGGCGTATTCCATATGAGAAGTAGATGAACATACCTAATGAAAAGATTTAAGAAAAGTCAAAACACTTAAAAGGATGCTTACTGGGATACTTAGAAGGATCGGTACTAGCAATAAAATGTGTTTTAACATAGCTTAAATAAAGAACTTTATTTATTCTTAATTTCTACTTAAATAAATAACTTTATTGAAAATAAATAAGTTTATTTTGAATATCTTAGGAGCAGCATGTTCTCATTTAAAATGAATGATAAGTCACGATAACATATACTATCATATCATTTATCATCCATGCAGAGTTGAGAGAAATTTTTGAGCTAAAGCAGGAAGAGCATAATCGAAAAGTTGGAAAAGTCAAAGTCTATAGAAGAGTTCCAAGTTACGCTGATTAGCTACGAATACCGTATAGATGGTACATCTTGTTACGGTTCATATCAGATAGTGCCGCAAGGCGCATGACAGTAGTGTTTCCTAGGTTCTCTAGAAGAGAGGTGATGAAAGGTGGCACTAGGGGACCGCGAGACATCACTGGCATGAGCAGTGGCGTAGTCTTGTTTCCTGGAGTTGTCATTCCTTCATTTAGGATGGCATGTCTTCGTCTTGTGGTGCAAATACTGAGACAAGTTACAATGAACGTCTGTAGAAGAACTCTTTTATAGACCTTGAGAATGGTATTATATGAGATCAGAGATTATGTGATTTTTGTCTCTGATGTCATACGTCAATGAGCCCACATGACCTCTGACGTCATCACAAATTCAGTCTCTGTGTGTTTTAAGTTGCGAACTGTAATTTAATTTTTTATAGTTTCATACTCATATTAGTTTAGATGAAAATACAAAAAACTATATTGCTATCCATTGTTTAAATTGTTCTGCTGTTTACATATCCATTCTTTTTTTCAATTAATTGTCTATTAATTTAGGTTATTATTTTTCACTTAATTTGTCATATCCATTGTTAGCCGCTTTATTGCCTTTCGATTGCTAACACTGTAATTTAAAGTTGGTTGTTTATTTTTTTACATGTCCTAATTTCCCATTTACATAGCTTGTAATATGGTTTTTCTTATTTATTTTCATTTTCTGTGACCAGTTCTCAAACACGGGTATTTTAAGCAAAGTATTTGAAACGTGTTGATGAACTTTTTCACACTATTCATAATTGATACTTAAATTCACACAGCAGCTGTAATATGTTTTGAAATTTAGATTCATCAAAATATTCAACTAAGCAGTGAATAAAACATGGAAATAAACCACTGACTAATGTTCAAAAACTGAGTACACATGCGCTCATGGGTTATGATAACGGGACTGCCAGTCGCCATTTTTGTGGGCTAGGATGACATGATTCCCAGTTGCCAGTTTTGTGGGCTATGACCCCAGGACTGCCAGCTGCAAATCACAAAATTGTCGAGCTAAATAAATTATTATTTTTTATTACACATTAATTTCAATATATATATTTAATTAATATATACGTATTTTATGAGACGTTGAAAAGTTTAAGGTCGCAAAAAGGAAGGCAAGGAAATGCAGGAGCAACAAAAAAAAAAACAAAAAAAAAAAAAAAAAATCGTAAAGTGGCATAGTTTTAAATTTTAGTAATATAGGTTTATCAAAAATAGTAAAATTCCGAAAAATCGCATGATCTAGTAACATTGTATTCAGATGGCCTGGAAAATGTTGTGATTCCAAAGACATGAAGCATTTAACTTATCTTCCACTCGGCTTGATTAACAGCACTTGTCCAAGACGTGGCCATTTGGTGAGACACAACATCCTTAATTTATTGTTGAAATAACTTATCCACGAACTGAGCGATTTAAACATAAGAAACATATTTCTTAGCAATTCGGAAATTATTAAAATGATATGTTAAACTAAAATAATTTAAAATTCATTTAAATTATAATATTTTTATCTGTCAATTCTGAATATCCGGAGTGTTACCGTGATTAATAAGAGTTGTTTCTAACACTGTTTAGTTTGGTCTATCTTATATTTAAATATTTTATGAATCTTTATCCCATCCATGGTATCGCTTAAGTAGTAGCTCACTGCAAATTAAAGCTTTATTTATAACACAAATATGTAATTGCCAGAATTTTCCTCTTTGAAACTAAACTGAAGTAACTTAAGTTATAATCTCTCATGTGTTCTGCTTTTAGGATTCTAATTCCACTGTGGTAACAGAATTGGCAGTTAGCAAACCACGTGACCTTCAAAATAGCTCGTGATAAAATAACCTAAATATAATTAAAATTATACTTTTAGCGCTTAATTTCATTTAAGTCAGCTAAAGTTACATTTCTGAAAAACAAGCATGTGGAAAATGTGCACATACGAAATGTATCACAAGCTTCAAAATAATTCTCAGCATTTAGTTATTATCCCATCGACCGTGAAGCTGCCATCAAGCAGCACGATTTGGCGCCAATTTTGGATAAACGTGAAGTCACAGCACACTTATAACATCTCCGCTTTCGTTTGATATAATCCAATTAATTCTTAAGCCTTGTTTTGATTTTTATGACGAGGATGTAAATTAACTGTTATTGCTGTATTTTCTCTTGTAATTGAAATAAATGATTAAAATTTGAAATCTTTATTCTACAGAGCAGCAAGAAATTCATTATTTTTAAAGTTATTGTATCCTATCATCATAAACGTGTACATTAATGGACATTACATAGTCAGCTGCATGTAGCCAACAAAATAGTCATTACCTGTCGGCAAGGTTTTACTCTAGCAATCTAAACAGAGCTTTTGGTAAAATCAGAGGGCCTAGCAAAAGAACAGAAATTGACAAAAGCGTTTTTGCGAAGCAGAAGAACGAATAGTGTTTGTTTATTAAATAAAGAGGAGCCAGTTCCTTCAGAATTCCGCAGGAACGATTGGCGTAACTTTGGCGGGATTTTCAACAGCTTTAATGTTTCGATGGCAGCCAAATTTATTCCTGACAAGATAATATGTAAGTACATAACTTTGATTAAAACATTGAATACTTTATAAAATATTCTAAAGGAGCCTTACCAATTATTACCCAAACGATTAATCGAAGCCATGTCGCTGAATTCAAATTCACTATCAAAATAGCATTCACCACAACGCTCAGAGCAGGTACCAGAGGCACCAGAGGAACCTGCAGTGAAATATATTAGCAAATGGTTATTATTCCAAATCAGTTTCTGAATAGAAGTTTTTACTTAGAGTACAAAATTATCCTCTTCAGTATTCCTCATAATTTCCCCTTTTAAAAATTTAGTTTAGTCCCCTCAGTTGATGAAAGAATAGCCCTGAGGTGTTGAACATTTTTACCATGAGAGGATACATTTAAATTAGGCAGTGATAAAGAAGGACGCATAAGTTGATAAACCTGTAAATGCGCGTTTTGTGAAATTATTATAGTTTTAGCATAGGTTTATCACTTCATTGCATTATATAGGAATAATGCAAAAAATATTTAGTTCTTTACTAAAATAAAAATTTTCAAAATAAAATATTTTTATATTCGCATAAGGTACAATAGAAAAGTAATAATATTTAGTTATAAAAAGCCAACATAGAAACAGTATGTAAAATAATGTTAAAATTGGATGGAAAATTTAATTTAGTCGGATACTTGCATTTGTTTCTTGCCTGAAAGTAATTGAATATTTAGATCAAGCTTCTTAACGCGCAGACTTAGTAGATCCTCTAAATGAGCATCTTATTTTGCGTTCTTTAAACTAGTTTTAATTTTTGCCATGAGAGAGAATGTTGACTCGCTGCAGTAGATACTTCCAAAAGCAGGTAAGTAAACGTCATGCACGCTGTCGTATGCATGGATATTCACCAGTATTTTTTCAGATTTCTATGAGATCCTTTTTTAGCGTTTTTTTAAAAGAGATTTGAGAACAGTATCTTCCCGCAACTCAAATAACTCCATTTGTAGTTTCGTAGGCGTAGGAGCTTTGGATATATCGACTAAGTGTGATTCAAATGTCAGTTCCATAGCAGAAGTGTAGTTGTCGAAATCTGAAAATCTTTTCTTGTCAAAATCTGAAAACCTCAGAATAGGTAAAAAAAATAACTAGAAAGGCCGATAGAAATACGAGGCGAGACTGTTACAAGCACCCACAGACAAATCATCAACTCCAGAACATACAGAGGAATGCTGTATATAGGTACCGCTTGTCTGTCAGAATAGCCACCGTCACGGTGTTTGGTGGTTGGCGGTTGCTATAGCAACACTGTTAGTGTATTTCAAGTAGAGGTGAGCCGTGGCCAAAAATAAGATTAAAACAAAATTTCAAGTGCTGGACGTTTGCAAATTAAAAAGTCCTCCAGAATGACAATAATTTCAGATTATGAAAAACTGCTAGAACTGCAACACTGTAGCATTCTATTTCATGTTGTGTTCAATAGACGGTACCACGTTATTCAATTCTATTACTTTTAAAATTGTCGTAATCTATATTATTAAATATTAATTAATACAAGAGCTAGAGGCTGCACAAGAAACTTAGGGAGGCCGCATGCGGACCCCAAGGCCACACGTTACCCACCTCTGCAATAATCTACTGTATAGACTCACTCCTGCAAACACAATTATTATTTTTAGCCCAAGGGCGTTAGCCCATAAGGGCTATTAATTTCGTTTTGGAATTTTGCGTTGATTCACTTTTCAAAGTTGCCACCAAATATTATCGCCATGTATTATATTTAAAGAAACTAAATAATGAAGAATCTGCCTGAATGCATGAATGTTTCTCGCATTGTGAAAGAACAACTGTATCTAGAGCCATCCAATTTTGGATAACGTAGTACTCCAACCGAATATGGATACCTGGAAGCCAGAATTTGGAATTTTAGATTTTTTTCCCGCTTCGTATTTCTTAAAACTTTAACCAATTTTTAATTTAAAATTTAAAGATTTCAAAGCGAGCAATGGCAACGCTATATATATATATATATAAACATTTTTATCTACAGCGCGCGAAACTACGTATCAGAAAATTCTGAAAATATGCCGTTTGGCTGTTTCTAAATATTTTATGATATTGCTGTTGAATTGAATTTTACGTGGTTTAAGTGCGAAGGACATGCTATCTAATAAATAAAGGCAGCACACAAAACCTTAAAAAAACGCCATTTTTGGCGTAATATATAATTTGAAAGCTTCAGATTTCCTTTTTTCTCTTTAGTTTTAACTACCTTCAGATTTTTTTGTTTGTTTGTTGTCTTTTTAACTTTATTACATCGCTTTCTTCGCACTTATGCCGCATAAAATTCAAGAGCAAAATCACAAAGTATTTAAAAATAGCATATCCTTAGAATTCCCGATAAAGTATTAAGCCTTCCCATCTTTTTTTTTTTTTTTTTTTTCAATATATATATTCGCTATATTATTTGTTTGATCAGCTGCTCGAACGGCCAGCCACCTGAAAGAATTATCATAAAAAAGAAAAAAGCAGACAATGAGAAAAGCTAGAGTCAATTCATAAAAATATTTAATATTTCTAATGAGATGTCTCATGACTTTAATGCATTTTCATTTCAATCAATCAGATTAAAAAGTAGAACAAATATTTTTAAGAACGCATTGATTGCTTTTCAATCATTTGATTTGCTATTCAGTAATAGAAAGATTAAATTTGAAAGTTAAATACCTTACGCTTTACTGAATGTCAACACCCTGGGTGAGTAGAGATAATAACTATTCCATTTTGAGGCACGCTTTGTTTTATACATTGCTTTCAAATAGCCGAATTTGTGTATTAAAACTGAAAGAAAAATATCCTACATTTTGCCGAATGCCAGCAGTTTGGCAACCGGAGACATCGCATCTGGTGAAATAATTTCCATAAATGTTATGAAGAGTTAATATTTGAATTATATTAGAGACATGAACAGTTCATGAACAATTATTTGCATTTTACTAATCAAAATACTGTAAAAATATCTTTTTAAATACTTTTTGATATTTTTATATTAAATTAGTTTAATTCTGATTAATAGATTTTGAGGCATGTTTTTTCTTAATAGCCGTTGACAAACATGATCATATTAAACTGCACCTATTATAACTCATATTTCTTATTTAAAGCCACGCTAGAAAATAAAGCCTAGCTTTGAACAATATAAACGTTTAGGTTATTGATTAAGTCACTAGTATTTTGCATATTTTAGTTTTGATCAGCAACGATTTCTTAGGAACACTTCGAAATTTCACATCGATTACTTTTTAACTCAGTTATCATTTTATGTGATCATATTTTGTGATCTTATCTTACCGTGTGATGAACGACAACATGCTCCTGCGATGGAGATAAAAGTATTTTAATTCGGGAAGTGGCAATATATTGTTTTTAAATTGCTGAGTTTATTGATTAAACTCGAACACAAATATATTGCGTTTTGCCGAGTGGCAACATACTTCTTTTATGCCGTTGATATAAAAGAAGAAAGTTTCACTATAAAATACCCTTCGAATAGTAGAAATTTATGGGACCAAGGGTGGACCAAGGGCAGAACACGTCGCACCCTTGGTGCGACGTGTTCTGCCTAGTATGATGTCAAACTCAAACTGCATTCGGGACGAATGCATGATTTCGAAGTAACTGACTAGCTAAATTTTGGCCCTCTACCCCCCCCCCAAAAAGTTTTTCTAAAACAAACAAAACAAAAAAAAAAAAAAAAAAAAAAAAAAAATTAATTAAATTTGGAAGTTTTTGTCTGCAAGAAATTTCTTATAGTTACAATTTGTCATTCAAACGCATTGAGAACTAAATATTAAATTTTCATACTGACATTTATTTCAAACAATTCTAATGTGTTAAATAAATTACTTTAAAATTCAAAAATAAGCAAATTACAGAAGTTCTCCAAGTGGAACACAGCTTGAGAATAAATAATAATAACTTATTCTCTTTCTTTTCTTTATTAAATTTTTCTTTGATTCATGCAGAAAAAATATCTTACATTTGAATGTAAATAATTGCCAATTTCTTTATTACTTTCTACAACTCTCAGTTTCGTGGCGTTTTAGCTTTGCTAAAGTCTGTAACCTTACAGAAAAAATACGACCTATCTTCCTCACGAACAGTAGATACTTATCTGCCGACCTGATTCATTTTTAGGCTTATTTAATTTTAACTGCGGAAAAACAAGACTGTCCTCATATAAATGTGCTCCCAAACAAAGAGATTATTCTTACTGCCAAAATTTGTAACTGAGGATATTTATGTGTCGACAAGTACAAAGTCTGTTAATAAAATTTGGATATGATTTATATGGCAGTGTAAATTAATCAGCTTCTTTGTAGTTTTTCTGGGGCGTTTGCTCAAGGCCGTTTTTAATCGTACGAAAAGTAATATAAAATTGGTCTCCAAATCATCCAACATCTTAAACTTTTCTTCATATCTTCATAACATCTAAAATCTTCTTTTCATAATAATGTTAATTAATATACCAACAAATGTATTCTCGGGGCCGCATGAAATTATTTTGTGTGCCGTCAGTTTAACACCACTGTCTCGGTGAACCATCCCCTCATAGGCAGACCTTTTCAAAAGGATTCCGAGCTATTTGCTGGGTATCGTGCGCTCGGTACCCATTTATAATCTGCCATAATTTTTTATTTTGAATACTAAATTGATTTAGCTTTATTTTGGTTAGCTTTATTTTAATTGGCTTTATTTTAATGTGGATATGTGTAGAAATAAATTAGCAAAGGAAGTAACCTCCTCAATGCGCTGCATTTGCTGAGCATGCCTTAAAGCTATGTTAGAAAAGATAATAAAGAAATATGTAAAGCATGCCATTCTTTTAATGCATGATGAAATACAGGAAGTCAAAAAGTAATGTCTACAACTTATATGAATTGTAAAGAATTTAAAATTTGTGTGGGTATTGATGAAAATTTCAGGTTGCAGCATCGATGAAAGCAATCTGACAATAGTTTTCTGAAGTAAATCGAGCACAAAATGATAAAACTTTCTGAAATAGAAGTTATGAAATCGGTGAATTTATTTCAGATGTTGAGATAAGAATTGTCGCCCGAGTATTAAGGTTAAGTTTACAAGATCAATGAAGTCGTATCCAGAAATATTATAGGCAATTCATAAAAGAACTTTTGCGTAACGAATAGAATACCCATTATTAATGGCTATTTTCCTAATTAAAATGCCACAGAAGTAAAACTTATATTTTAGTACATTTATATTAAATTAAATTCCATTGCTGTTTTGAACGATATTTCTTTTCTCATCGTTCAAGATTATCATTCGGTAATGTTATCAAAATATCTGTGGATAAACGCGATCACATAAAGCGACATCTACTGAAAATAAATAATCATCTCGCATTACATTACTTCTTTTCTATTTTTATAAGGAATGTTATACAAGTAAGGAAGGATGTTATAAGAAATATTATCTTACCTTGTATTGTAGAGAAATTGTTGTTTGTTGGTGGAGCAAAATAAGAACGAAGCTCCCCAGAATTCCAAGAAGCAAAACAACAAGTATAAACGTTGTCCACCAGTGTTTTATTTTAAGGGATGAATAATATCCTTTTACGAATCCACAAAGCAGAAATGTAAATATTACTAGCAAAGCAACACAAATAGTTACCAATTTCCCGGCACGAAGGTTTATATATTTTTGCAATACTTGAAAATTGGCCCGAAATTGGCCAGTAGCATCATCTATGGGTGCTTTGTTAGTACCATTTCCACCAATGGAAGATAACTCTTGGCTGCCTATCTCATTAGTTATATGGGGGCTGTATCTTAAAATAATAACGGAGGCACTAACAACTAGATAGGCAACAAGGGTACCAATGGACATCAGCTCTACCAAGGTATTTATGTCAAGTATTAATGCCATTATGGCCGACAAAAAAGAGAAAATGTACATTGATCCTAAAGGAATCTTTGTTGTTTTATTCACCTTGGAGCAGAACACAAAAAGTAGACCATCATCAGCCATGACATAAATGACTCGAGTCAGGGCAAAAAGGCTTCCGATTATGGAAGTGGCCATTCCGCTGACGGCTCCCACGATGACTACTATCTTCGCCCAGTAGGCACCCTGCGAAGCCAATGCTTCTGGTAATCCAGAATCCTCTGCAATATCTTTGTAGTTGACCATAAGCGTAAGAACAGAGGAAACACCAATGTACGTTACTGTAGCAATGCTCATTGATATCATAGTAGCTCTAGGAATGGATTTCTGTGGATCTTTAGCTTCTTCACCAGCAGATGCAATGGAATCGAAACCCACGTACGCATAGAAACAAGTTGCAGAAGCTGCCAGTACACCAGACCATCCGTATGGCATGAAGCCACCTGTATGTGGATTCACCCAGTTCTTCATCTTGGAAAAATATGCTCCTACACATATAACAATCATAAGAACAGTCATATTCACAGCCGAAAACACGTTATTCAAATGAGATGTCATCCTGACTCCGAACGATAGCCAAATTATGAAAATCACGAGGATACCAAAGGCGAGGAAATCTAAGTGCTCAGATACGAATGGTACATGTATTGGTCCGATGAGGTTCATTATGTTGCTTTTAATTACGCCACCGGTCAAGGAGTCAATGTAAGAACTACATGCTCTAGAGGTGGCAGCAGCTCCGATAATATATTCTAAGGCTACATTCCAGCCTACTAAAAAGGCCCATAGTTCTCCCAAAGCCAAGTATGTGTAAGAATATGCGGATCCTGATCTTGGGTACCTCACGCCGAGTTCTGCATAACAAAGGGCTGCAAGGAAAGAAGCAAATCCACTGAACAGAAATGCCACCACAATGGCCGGCCCAGCCATGTTCTTGGCAACTGTTGCTGAAAGGACATAGACTCCAGAGCCGATCATGTGTCCAATAGATAGCAAAGTGATGTCAGCAGTGTTGAGGCAACGATGCAGATTTGTTGCCATCACATCGGAGCCAACAATCTTTTTCCTTGTCAAACGAGAAGCAAAGTCACAAATACACCTGGCATTCATCTCAGATGTCTGCATTATGCCTGAAAAAGATAAAGGAAAAATTACACTTTTTGAGTTTATGTAAATCTGAAGTCAATGATGTCTAACTGGCCGGCCGCATCCAGCCTTGAAGCAATTTGTGTAGCACACCAAGAAATTTCAATTATATATTTTTTTGCAAACATGGTGTTGCAAAGATTTCAAGATTTTGGTTATTTAAAAGTCCTAGGTTACATTATTTTCATTTTCATTAAAAACAAACATGAATAACGCACTAAAAATCAATACTTGGAACTAAATATTTTACAATGTGATATAAATCTTGTTCAAAGGTTTGAAAAAACAGATTTGATTAATTTTCGTTCGTGCTTGGAAGAAAAACCTCAGTTACAAATTTTTGAACTTAAAACAATTGTTTTACCTTCCCTGACTGAAATACCATGCTTAGAAGTTTCATTTTCCCTGCAGAAAATTAATAATAATAAAAAAATCTGATTGATTGATGAACATCTACAATCCGTGATGAAGATAAGTTCTGGTAATTTCTATCCGAGAATGCAAATTTTATCAGAAATTGTCAAGCTGTCTTAAGAAATAAAGAAGCTTATAATTATTTTACCAACATTTTTTTTTTTTTTTTTTTTTTTTTTTTTTTTTTTTTTTTTTACTTAGGAAAACTCAATAATTAAGAAAAAGTGAGTAGGGTGTCATTTTGTATTCTCAAGTTTTGTTCCACTTGATTTATTTTCTCTGAAAACTTAGAAAGTTTTTGTAATTTGTTTATTTTTAGTTTAAATTAAAATAAGTTATTTAAAGATTAATTAATCAGGTTGTAATAATTTGAAAGAAAAGTCAGTCTAAGACTTGGATATTTAGTTGTAAATTATGTTACCAACAAAAATGTCTTATAGGTACCAAGCTTTAGATTTCAGATAGAAACTAAATACAGTGGTATCTCCCAATAAGGGACACTCACAGAACCAAACGCTTCGTCCCTTAAATGAATAGAAGTTCCTTCTTCAGAAGGTACAGACTAACAGACTAAAAAAATGTAATTTAATTAGAAATTCATGTAGCATTATGCTTTAAATAAATTATATTCGACTAAGTAACACAGTCAATGGTGTTTATTTGAATTTGAAGTTAATAAAAAATTAAAATTCTTAATTAAAACAGTTTAATTATTGCAAAAATTTATGAAATGAACAACAGCGTTTTGTACTTACGGAAATTTATTAAAAACAATCCGCTACACGGATTTGTTTAACAACCTGTGTATTTTTTTTAATTGAAAATTTTAAATCCTTGTGCACCACATAGTATTACACAAGACTTACAGAGGTAAGTAAAAAAAAGACAAATACAACAACAGAACACAAAATAAAATAAATTTACAAATTAACAGATGACACGCAAGAGATAAATTTACAGAAGAAAGAGATTATGCCATTTTATCTCGGACAAATACGTGAAGAGGTGGAGGAAATGTAATATTCATAAGAGTTTTTTAAGCCTAGAAATGAGTTCCTTTTCGTCCTTCCTTGAAGCTTTGAACATTATAGAACAACAAATGTTCGACATTTTGAACTTCTCCGAAGCTGCATGGAACACAAGTCTGTACTTATATAATCCCAAATCTCTTCAGATATGAGTTGAAATTTGCCATGTCCCAGTTAGAAATTTAGTAACTTTTAAAATTGCAGAAAAAATGGTAAATGCTATTATTCACTCTGTGAGGAATGGAAGGAAAATAAATAGTTTAGTCAAAGAAGCAGTAGTAGAATTCCTGTATAGTTCATTTCCTCTTGAGCATTGTGTCATCCCTACTTTTTTCCTTGTAAATTGACTTGGTCAGTATCATTGGAGTAATTAACTTGAAGATGTTGTAGCTTGTTTTGCCAACCCAATCAGCCCTTTTCATTTGCCTAGATTGCCAGTGTGGCCATGCAGTACATGAGGAAAAGGTGACATCAACCACCATTTATTATTAAGGTGTTTAAGGTCTTTAAGAATGAGTATTGAGAAGTGACAATTAATTTATTACATGAGAAGATATTCCTAAGGGAATATAAGGATGAAAGAGAATCAGTGTGAATAAGAAATTTAGCACTTAACAGTTGTTAGATATCCACTTAATTGACTCACTAATGCACAGTAATTCGGCTTGGAAAACACTGCATTCATTGGGAATTCTAAAGATTATGTATTCCAGTTCATAACCATGATGGAAAACGACATAAGCTAATCCAACTCGAATATTAGTTTTACTGCTATCTGTATAGCACACGACAGGGAAATTATCATCAACAGAATTGTCATAAATGTTAGTTTGAATTGGCAAACGATTGGCAGGTTGAGGAAGATCTTCAAACAATACCATGGTATCGAACATAAATTTGCTGATGGTATCTTTAAACATTTTGTCATTTAAAACATGAAGGTCAATCGGAGGAAATCCTGAAATTGCGAAACAGGCTTCATAGCTAATTGTTCTGTAGCCAGGCACAACTCTTAGTAAAATTCTTCTTTGAATTCTGCGAAGTATACGGGAATTAATGTTCTTTTCTAAAGCTGTTCCCCACACTCTAGAAGCATAGCAAATAAAGGGCACAATACCCTGCTTATAAATCAGATCAATAACATTAGATTTTAAACCAAAAGTATTACAAGAGACACTATTAAGTCCTCTAAGTATATTTTCACACTTATAATAATACATAATATGATTTTTCCAACAAAACTTATGATCTAGAATAACGCCTAAATATTTAATTTCATTCACCGTTTCGAATAAGGTATTATCCAAGTACGGCTGTTGGTTTGTATAGCTGACATGCTTTCTTTTAATTATCATAATTTTAGATTTATTAGGATTGAATTCCAATTTCTGTTCTCTGGACCAATTGGAAATAATATTAAGTGTGTTCTGAACCGTATTAAAGAGAGTAATGGGACACTTCTCTTGAAAGCAAATTAGTAGATCATCAACAAAAGCAATTGTTAAGCATTTTGTCCACATGGATGATGCTCTTAAGTTCTTCACTGTCATCAATAGTTATCATGATTTTTTTTTATTGGTAGGTGTATTTTAAGGCATCTGTATAGTTTTCATATGATAATTTTCATCTGCCTCTTTTTCGTCTTCTTTCCTGATTTCCAAGTTATTTTTGTTAAAGCTTACATCATCAACTACAGTTGAAATAAAAAATTTTTATTATCATCAGTGTCCTTCAGTACACAAGTTTTCATCGTTTTCTAAATATTCTTGCATTTGCGTGCTGCCACTGATTTTGACAAGTTCAAGCAATTCATTTTCATCAGTAGTACTTTCTGTGAGAGCACTCGAAAGTGGAATTTCAAAGCCTGCTTTGTCAAAGCAGTGCTGAATACAACTTTGTGATACTGATTTAACAGGCTCTGTCATACGTTGAATGGCATGCAGTGCACTGATACATTTTGCAAGCCGGTCGTTGTTTCCGCAATGAGCTTGACAAAGAACATACCATAAAAACAGTTTTCTATAACAGACCTTGAAGCTTCTAATTATACCTTGTTCCAAAGGCTGTAATACTGATGTTGCATTAATTGGGAAAAGCAGTAATTTTACTTTACTGCTTATCCTAATTAATGCACTTTACTGGTTTCAGTTTTACATTTGGTGGGTTGACAGGCGAATTGTCAAGAACTACAGCATCTTCTTATTTTTTCTAAACATTGTTGCATCAAGAGCAATAACCATTCTGACATTATATTTTGCGTCATCTCATGACGCAAAACATATTGTGATGACAATGGAGTGACAAAGCTTTTTGATCCATGCCACTGAAGCATCTTTGTTTTTTGGCCTTTCCAAAAACTTGTAAGTGGTTCCAAAACTCTCCATGTTACAACAAAGTGAAATGTTCCTTGGAGCTTTTATCACCACAGCACTTTTCTCCTTTCAATCATAGAGTTTTATTCAGCAAAATGCGATAAAATAATCCAGTTTCTTCTACATCATAGATAGTTTTAGTCTCCTATCCTTTACAAATTCCAATTAGCTTTTCTGTGCAGTCTGTTGAATGTTGCATATCTACTGAATTTTCTTCATGTCAAATAGTCTTAAAATATGTTTTTTTTTTTTTTTTTTTTTTTTGCTTAAATTTTTCTAACCAACCATTTAATTATTTGAAACTCTGTAGTCCCATACTTTTGCCTTTTCTTGCAGTAATACTCCATTTACAGGAATATTGCTTTGTCTTACAGAATAAACCCAATTGAACATTATTGAATCCATTTCAATGCTTCAGTTTTTCTAAATTTAACAATCTTGAAAACTTCCTTTGACTTAATAATAAAAGTACTTTAATTTTTCTTTATTCTTTATGATATGACTTATTTGTTTTTTACTTATTCCCTAGCTCTGCCCTAAATCTTTCAAACTAAGCTTTTGAATTTCTGCCACATAGCTTACATCAATATTTCGTTTCAATGTTACTCTATACCTCTTTGAAGTTTGTATGTAAAAATAACACACGAGTACAAAACTATACTGTTTTTGCTCCCCAGTTCTAACAAGAACTGAGAATGATAAAAGTTTCACTCTATTCACACTGTAAGATCTCTGTGCTTTGGCAGGTGATACAGTCAAAGAATTTTAATTGAATCCCTTTATATTCTTTGATTCAGTCATCTCACCACCTTTTCTTTCCCATTCGTCCTTGTCATGGATTGCTTTATAATTTGCTAACACTGTTTTTTTATTCTCTTCTGAGAAATGTAGCAAGAATAACTGGATTTTGAATTTTATGAATGTGAAATATTCATTTGGTTGCACCACATTTTACATTTGTCCATGTATTATTTATTCCCCGTTTCCCTACTGAAAAGCAGTTTTCAAAACCGAGGGAGTAACTTTTCATTTTATCGTTCTTTTATAACAAAACTTTCTTTCACTAAGCACAAACAGGGGCTTTGAAACCTAAAACGATTACTGACAAAGAGTTTTTCTGCTTTTATTTATTTCTCTTTGTTTTATTTTTGTAACTTT